TGATCCTAATTAAATCTATTAATTGGTCGGTTGGACCGTGCATTATACCCTATAATAAATCGACACACTGAATTAATAAATTAAATTAAATAGAATCTGTTGCATTGAAAGCCAGTTGATTAAATTATGTGTAAAATATGTATGGTTGTGAATTAGCTACCGAAAATTATATATCCACTACACAGGCTACGGCCTACAATTCCCATTCTGTCATTAATTAGGAAGAATCTTGTTTGATGTGTTCTTGTGATGGCATTAATTACGCCATGGAAAAAAATGTCTTGTGCTCATCACATTAAGGCATAAGAGTTTAAAAGATTGAATTAGGATGGAGATCAGGATAAGATCTATGCTTTGACTGTAACATCGTAATCGTAGAAGCAAATTGGCTCTTAAACCATTAATTTTAGAAGAAATAATGATGTCATTCGTCAAATAGGAGCTAAAAAGGATGATTTCGACGTGTTTAAGAGCTAATTTGTCTTTGCATTTTGTTTAGAGACTGATCTGTCACTGAATTGAAAATTCACGAGGGCAGCTTGACCTTCTGGAGGGTCCATGTAGGGTCTGATATTCCGTCCATGATTTTGCTCGTGTAGATAAGCAGAGCTTAGTAACGTGACTGCTAATAATAATTTGACAAAACATGTGTTATGTTGTTTGGAACGTGTAATTGAAGCCGTGAGTGGTGGTGAATGAGTGGAATCCAGGTAGAAGTGGGTCTTAGGCTTCTGAATGAGAAGACTTGGACCCAAAATTTTATTTTTTTTTCCTTCCTTTTTGAGTGACCCCTAAGCTTGCTTCCAATATACCCACTTCCCCATTTTTGTCTGCCTTATCTTTTTTGACCTTCCAATGTTGCTTTTTCTTCTTTTTTTTTTTTTTTTTTTTTTTTTTTTAGGAAAGGCAATTGGAGGAAAAAAAAAAAAAGAAGACTGCTAATTCAACAGTTAGAACTTTAATATTTATCAAGAGTTTAATGCAATTGGATCAATGCAATCAAAGCTATGGGCGTCCAATGTTGCTTATTTGATATAACTTATTCAATTACCATCACAACATATATAAGGCCATACAAGACGAACCATCATAAACACATTCTCTAATGATTTTTTGTTGTAAAAATTCACTTGTTTTTGGAAAGTTCAAATTAAAATAAATCAGTAACAATCTAATATTATTAACATTGATTGTGAGAACGTTAAAAGTTTAATTTACTGGCATAGTAAACAAGTATCATTTTATAGATTAAATTTAAGGTTTTATAAATTTTAAGACTCATAAAAAAAAGATTAATTTTCTTAAATACACTAAGTTGTTGTGGTGAGTGTATTATTAATAAATTAATCTTAAATTATATAAAAATTAATTTAAAGACATCTTAAC